CAAAAAAATACCTAACGTTTGATTTTTTTTTTTTTTTTTTTACGTGTAATACGGTTCGCGATTACGATTTTTGAACCCGTTTTTTTATTGTATTTTTGTTTTTTTTATTCGCATGCGTCACAAAGTTCAGGTCAGATATTCCGGGTAAAATTCGTTCGCGGTAACTGTAGATTTGTCTTTAGCGAATTTCTCTTGCGCGCGCGCGCCGTTCTTACAAAAGTATAAATGAATCGAATTCGCATCGTCCGATTCCGGCGAAACACTGTGCTTGCACCAGCATAATATCACGTAGCCCCCGTCCTACAGGGACCGACTATGGTTCGTCCAGATGAGCAGAAAATGCCGGCGATCCTTATATTATTCACCGTATATGCCCCCGCGCGTGGGCGATTCCCTTGGGATTCGTTTAAAAACGACCGGCGAAATTATAAATCCCCCGGCAAACGTGAACACGTCTAGGCAGTAGAAATTTCGATTATTTCGTAATTTTTTACATTACACGCACGTGTATGTACAGATTTCGAGTGCTCGATTTTCTCGACGGTCGTTAGTGATCATTTCAAATGGTTTGAAAAAAAAATACTTGGCGTTTTTCTCGGGGGCGGTCGAAACCTTCAATTAACCTCTGTCTATATGGGGACATTTTAGACTGGTTTTTTGATTATTTTCTTTAAGTCGGCAGTATCCTTCTCGTCTTTAATCTGGTCTTCGATCTTCAATCTTCAAATTGGTTGGTTTACTACGCTTGTTCGCCCAAATTTTCTTTTTGCAACTTAAATCCTTACAGACTCCTTGTATATTATCTATCTTTATCCATGCCCATCGCGATTGGTTTCATGCATACTTCATGTCCTTGCTGGTTTTCGTCTTCCGATATCATCTGCTATTCGTCACCTTTTATGACGCATCTCGTTAAGTTACGGCGACGTGGTAGATGCGGTAGTTTATAATACAACGGAGTTGATTTTTCTGTGAACAATTTTTCTATCAGAAATTTCGCTCAAATTTTCAATTTCCGAACGGAAATTTGACAGGGGCAGTACTGTAAGGAGGTTGTTTTTTGATTTTTCCAGAGGTTTTCATAATAAACGAAAAAAACCGAGGGAAACCGTAGGGAAATGGGAAAATCCACGAAATATTGTATAATTTTCAATTCGTAAATACAACATTATGGCCTTTCAAACCACGCATAACCGAAACTCACGTCCTACCTTCCCAACTTCTCACCTATAAAAGTGGCTCGCCCATGGTGCGAAATATGTCCGTATCCCTTTTCGCCGATGTTTCTAGTGTTTTCTGTAGGTATTAAATACGTACAACTCGGGACGACTCGATTACCTAATCGGTTCTCGCGGGTAGCACAGGTGTTCTTACGAATTTTTTCCCGGTCGGTCTACTGCAGGTAACATAGTACGCGAATCGGAAATGCAATTTCAATTTTAGTTGCAGTTCTTGAATATCGTGTCTTTATTTTTAACGTGTTGCGTTCGGCGGACGTTTTTTTTTTTGTTTTTTTATCGCGGGAACGAATTCGTATACATTTACTTTAGACCGATACACCGTATTTGTACACGTAACTGGTATACGATCTCACACACCGGGAAATATTCCCGGCTGCAACACTACACACACGCATATATACGTGTGTGTGTGTGCGTGCGTGGTTTTTTTTTTTGGTTTTTGAAAACAGTCGCCACTGTCACGCCGCAGCGTAAGACCGTCCCGCGAGTTATTATTACACCCGCCTTATACGACATTAATAACGTACCGATCTCCGCAGCAGTATCGGTCGGAACGCCGTCGGCCGTAACACCGCGGCGTGCGGAAATCCCGGGGGGGGGAGGGGGTCGGCCGTACGTGCGATGCGGTGTGCACTAGGCGCAACGTCACATCCGAGGACCCGTAATGGTCAAAATACGAACGACGAAATATTTCGAATTTCGCGCGTTTCCGCGTGAGCGTTATTGTTGTATGTTGTAACGCGCGCATTGCCGCTACGCGCGACGCGGATATTGATTATTATCATTTTTCGTTTCGTTCGGACGGCCACCGGGCGCTCGTTGAAAATCCGAAAATTCCGATTGAAACCCATCGCCGCCGTGTAAGTGCGCGGCGCGCGACGTTCGCGCGCGTATGCGCTCGACAAAACGTAATGCGCGAGAACCGACGACGTGGCCCGGCCCGTTCGGCGTTCCGACGTCGGCGTATCCGCGGTCGCGCCCCGTCGACCCGATCGTTTTTTGTTTTTTTTTTTTTTTACCGGCACGCTTTTACCGTCGCGGAACGAAATGGTCCACCATCGAGAACCCGTCGGGCCCGGATTACGAAGAATAGCGCACGTGTTTTTTTTTTTTTCTAACCGACAACGCATTCCGAGTACTGACGCGATTCGTGTAACCGCGTGTACCGTAGTACGCGTTAACGGGCGAAACGTTTTCTCAGCTCAATTTCGTTTTTCGTTTCGTTTTTTTAGGGAAATTTTTTTTTTTAATTAATTTTTCGCGCACCATTTACGCGATTTTCAGAAATATTTTTAATTACAATAATTGTATTTACTTTCGCATACGATTTTCATTTTTTTTTTTTTCTCTAGGACACTTTAATATGCGTTCCCCGTACACGTTATATCACGGTTTAATGATTATAATCATTCGATTAGTCACAAAGCGCGGCGACTTTAAAAGCGAGACGTTTTCGTTTTTCATTTTTGCCGGTTTATCTGCAGTATTTCGGGGGTATTTTTCGATGTTTTTTTTTTTTTTTATTATGTCGCGTGAATTCCGCGATCCGGCGGTTTCTCTCGCGTCGTATTATAATACGTATGTCGACGTGCCGAGTCCCTCGTCCGGCTCCGAGGACTGTACGACGATATTCATATAATTGAACGCCTCCGTCGTTTGGGTTGAAGAGATTCGGGGAGGGGGAGGGAGAAATGAATTTAAAAAACAAGGTAGGTGGAAATATTGCAAAAGGCGCAGATAACGCGGCCGTCAAAATCGCAGTGCTGCACTTGTTGCGGCCGCGACGGTGTTTATGATATTACCACGGTGTAATATACGTACGTGATAATTATAGCGGCGGAGAAACATTCCCCGTTTCGGAGTAAAAAATCCAAACCGACGTCGAATAAAAAATAAGTGCGTTAAACACGCACTTGTGTGTTTTTATGGAATTTCCCTCGAATATAGGGACCATTGCATTGACAGATGCATTACGCATCTGTTTTATAGATGCAGAGTAATTATTTTATCACGAACCGGCAGTTTTCTCGGGGGATTTTATGAGACGTATTTGATTTCTGTTGGTTTTTTTTTTCCCATCGTAATGGAATCGGCTTAGCGTTATTTTAAGACTATTTTAAACTGTTTACCCCTACTCTTTATACCCGAAACGAGTATTCACTTTGGAATTTTAAATAGCGATCTCCTCCCCCTTTCGACCGCACATTCAAACGGAGAATAATTTTTCCAGATAGACTTGTTTCGATAAGAGTCGGATCGAATTTCAATATCGTGTGATGAACAATACTGTGTTGATGCGGGCGGAAAGATTTTTTTTTAGTTTTGTACATCGCTTACAGACTCTCCGAGCGAAGCTAGGGACGGTAAAATGTGGTATAAATGCACGGCTATAGGGGGAGCTTTCTAAGGATTTCAGCAGTAAATCTCCACCCCAAACGTTTTTACGATACATTTTCACAATTTCGTCGGGAGTAGTTGAATTTTATTACAAAATATCGCATCGTATTGTACTATCATAATATTCGGCGAATCGATTATCGTTTCGCAAATAAGATTTCTATTATAAAAAAAAAAAAAAAAAAAAAAAAAAAAAAATAATAGGTGGGAGAAAATTCGACTCTACAGCGACGGAGCTCTGCTGCTCACCGATGTTTTTTTTCTTCTCTCGTTTAGTATAAAAACGTAATTATAGGAAAAAAAAAAAATAAAAAAAAAAACACTCGGCCCACATATTATTATAGCAACGTTATTATAATGGTAGTATAGGTTTTTTACACGGGTATGCGAGATTCGTAATAAGAGTATTTGTACGTACTATATAGTGTATTATTTATTTATACCTTTCATGTACGAATGAACTTTGATTCGTGCGATTAGGTTAACAACATATTATTTTGCCAATTTCTCTTATGTAACGTCAATATGTATAAAACGGTCCGGGCATTACATACTATTATATATAATTATTATAATATTACGATGACTATAATATGCAGTAGGTACACCGACGTTAAGTATTTTTGCGGTAGTTGCACAACGCGAGCAAACGTATTAAATATTTGTATACTATAGAAAAAACTATAATTTTTTTTTTTTTTACCGTTTTACCGCAAACAGTATGTATAATATGTATACATAAGGTTTTTTTTTTTTTTTTATAGTCTTAATTCGTGAGCGTTTTGTTCGGCGTCGCACTTACACACGCGTAGATGATATAATATTATCTTTGAGATTTATTGAAAAAAAAAAAAAAAAAAAAGAGTACACAATATAATTATTATTAGAACATATTTTTAAAATAATAATGCGTTCGCTTTGTTCGGGGCGGCGCGGGGAGGGGGGAGGGGCAAAAAACGCATTTCGCTCGCGATTGCCTAATCTTCAAAAAATTAATAATAACCGATAATAATTTATCGGTCCCTATGCGCGCGACGAAAAATAGCCGGTGATGTTATTCGATTTTTAATAATGATAATTTTTTTTTAAACATATTTTATTTATTTAACCATCAAACAATTAACATGAGAATTACAATCACATTACACAACAAACGCATGAATAAAATTTATCTAACTTCTATAAGATAGGCTTGTGGCGATGGTAGAGAGTTATAATTTACAAAGTTAATTGTTTGATTAATTGACTATATGTTGCAATTTCGCTTTCAACCAAAGTACCTCCTATGTAAACAAATATTTTAAACGATTTTATGTTGTTACGAGACGTTACACAATTTACCGAAACACAGAATTCTATTTTTTACGTAATGGATAAAAACAACCATTCGTGTAAATCTATTTTAACATTATTGATCGGATTTACATAAAAAATAGTTTTTAGCTGGATAGGCATAGGATTATAATAACACGGTCCAATATAATCCACACATTTTTTACCGAATGATTTATTAAAGTGAGTTACTTTCGCATAATACGCTAAATGTTTCCTCTTATTATCATTAACATTCGCCCGTAAATCGAGATATACAACCGCACGGCGGTTTTTAACAGCCATCATACGTCGGAATGTACTCGCGGAGGCGGGGGAAAGTCTAAGTTTACCCCGCGGAGTGGCGGTCCGATGGTTTTGTCACGGGAGAGGGATGATAAGTCGATTTTTTTCTAATTTTAAAAAAATAAATATCATTGTAATGTTATGATATTTTTTCTTTTGTCGCTTTATAGACACGGCGACGACGATACACTCGTATCAGCGGCGTATCGAGAGAGCGTGTTTTAGTGTTCGAACCTCCCAACTCCCGACCCCCCCCACCGTTTAACTAGGTATATTTATGCCGAAAATGATAATTTTTACTGTAATACGAAATCGCGCCTCGGTTTTCCGGCAACTAAGTTGCATCTAAACACAAAATAAAATATCATTGCTACGCCACTGACTCGTGTTACGGGTAGCGCATTATTATACACTTACACACATATTGTGCGTACACCGTTATGGATATCGAAAGGAAAATGATATGGTTACGGGGAGCGGGTATATTTTCGTTACCGTTTGACCGCCCCTCGGCGTGCGTCCTGAGGCGAAGGGGAAAACTCATTTTTTATACTATGTTCAATGCGCAGTGATAATGACGATGCGCAGCGTATTATTGTTTAATCGCGATTTCTATTTTAATCATTCCTTGTAATACCGCACGAGAATATGATATTTTTATTAAACTACCGTACACAAGTTGCAGTCGTATATGCTTACTGAACAATGCAGCAGTATTGCACCCATACCGTTACGGTTTTTTAATTTTTTTTTTTTTGAAATTATTATTAAAACAAACAATAATCCGTGTACGCGAGTACATAATTACATAATCTGTGTAAAAATAGCACCAGGTATAGTTTTTATTATTATTATTATTATTTTTTCATTTTTTTCCCCGCGTAGATTGTAATACCATAACAATATTATTATGAAAGTAAATTTGTTTACACTGTACGCAAAAGTGTAAAAACCAGACGGGATAATATTATTATTTCCCTATATGTATTTTATTTTAAATATATACGATCGTCTAATTCTATTATACACGTACACAATAATGTAATATATATATATATATATATAAAAAAATATACCATACCGAATGTCAACGGCCGAAGTAGCCGGTCCCGTTCGTTGACATCGGCTAATCGGTTTCCCCCACCCCCACCCCGATATCGCAAACCGCGGTTGCACATTACGCGCGAGTGTTTTACGTGCGAAAATTAATTATTGTCAGCGCAATGAGCCAACGATTACCGTAGACTACCGGGGGGCATCGTCCTAAAGTCAAATAGTACCTACGGATCCGGGGCCCCGGTTTCCGAAAATTTAAACGTCATAAAAAAAATCCGAGTTACTCCGGTCCGTTCGAACCCTTCAATTCAGTAAAATTTCCGGCCGATGTCTCTCGTAAAGCTGATTTTTCTAATAACAGAATGATACATTGTTAAAAACCAATGCATTGTCTGTCGATAATTGACCGGCCCGGGTAAATTTTACGGGGACGGGGTGGTAATCTGCCATCTATCAATAGTTTCTCTCTGGAATCGTTACTTGTATCTTCTATTGTCACTGCGGTGGTCCCGTACGCAACATTGTCAGTGGTCGGAAGTGGTAGCGTGTATTTTAGCGAGCGGCCTATGCGCAGCGCGGCAACGCTACACATTTTTCGCAACGTGGTGAAAACGACGAAAAATTTCGCTACTTTTTACCGAAATAAAATTACGATTACTCGGCCGGGCAATGAAATTTGACGTGTAATCGACAAAAGTTTACCATACTCAAATAGGTCCCTTGAGAGAACATCAAAACACTATTTCCCTATGGACTGCGAGAATGCGATGTGATACCGTTGCAGTTACGCAGCGCGCAGGATTAATATTCGAGAATTTCATGAAATTGACGAAATCGAAAAAAACAAAACAAAAAAAAAAAAGAGTTCGAAATTTTTTTAAGGTTAAGTATTGTAGACGGTATAGTGAGACTGTATCGGGGGGGGNGGGGGGGGGGGGGAGAACTCGTCCCCGTTTCGGAAATACGAGTACACCGAAAGTAGCGATTTCCGACCCGTCGACTATTGTTATTGTTATTATTGCGCGCGCGCGCGCGCGGTGCCCGTATATCGGTGTACGCACACCCGCGTACCGAAACTCAAAAATGTTCTGCCAGTTAACGCGGGTAACGTTTTCTGTTCTCCGCACGCGCGCGCGGAACGCAATGTTCCGAAACGCTCGAGAGTCGTCGGGAACGTTAGACGTCGCGGCACTCGGACGTACGGCGGTTTCTCGTACAGGCGATACTGTCGCGGCGCTGGTAACGCGCGCTGTATAATGTTCCCGCTATTATCGCTTGTTATTGTTGCGCGCCCGTACAACAGCGTCGCGATGTTCAAACGGCGGCGGCGGCGGCGCGCGCGTTCTTAATCTATACGCGCAAATTAAATATTTGCCCGCGCTGTTGTCACAACGTTACACGCCGTATAGAAATTATTGTTTAAATAAAATTATCGCGACAAACCGAAATATTAAAACAGGTACCCGTCGGCCGTACCGCGCGGCGCGCGGTCGATTTAATTGCCGGATCGCTCGTCGCGACGCGCGGCGGCGGCGGCGGCGGCGGGTACGCGAGTGTTACGGGGAGCGCGCGCGGCCGTATAAAAATTGTTCGTCTCGGTGACGCGATACACCGGGTTCGCGAATTCTAATAGATAAACGAAAAAGAGAGAAAAAGAGTGAAAAAAAAAAAAAAAACGTCTCTCTTAAAAGAGAAAAACCGTCGACGGTAATATTGTCGCTGTTATCGGGCGTACGCCGTGGTTTTGTTTTGTTTTTTTTTTTTTTATTCGGTCGCCTCGCAAGTATACACGAGCCGTGAGCAACGAAAGTATAAACGGCGCGCAAATGTCCCCCCCCCCGCCACGCGCCCCGCCGTCGCCGTGCGGCAGACCGGTGGCCCGTTATAAAACGGCGACGACGGTAATAATAATATTGTATTCTCGTGTCGTCGTCGTCGTAACAAGGAAACAGAAAAAAAAAAAGAAGAAAAAAAAAAGGCGACTGCGACGATTTAAACCCGGCGTAAACGGCGGCGAAAGTGCCTGTAAAACGGGACAGTGATTTTCCCCGGGGATACTTCACCCTTTTTTTTTTTTTTTCCTTTTTTACTTTCCTCCTAACCGGACGCGCGTTACTCGAAAGACGCCCGGGGGTGTTTTCCTTATTTAACGCGGCGGCGGTACAACGCAAACGAGGTCTTGACCTGTTGTACCTACCCGATTATTATCCGTCGACGGATATTACCGCCGCCGCGTTTAGGACGGTTTTATTGTTGAAATTATTTTGTATTTTGTATTTATTTTTTTATACTCCGACGACGTGTTGCGTATACCACCTATACACGACGACGACGTTTAAAAAGAAAAAAAATAATAATAACAATAAGGGAACGCTGTAGATTTTCGTTTCGCGTGCGAAATAATTATTTCACGCGATGTAATTATATCGGAACAGTTCGGAAAAAAAAAAAAAAATAGAAAATAATAGGTACACGCGTGTTAACCTATTGCGAATTTCGCGGAAAAAATCAAATCTGTTTTGTTTACGATGCCGGATATCCAGAGGCGCATATTTTGTCGGGTACCTGTTTACTTTTCGATGAACGCGCGGCCATCGTCGTAGGCCAGCTGATGTTTAGAGCGGCAACATTTCTTCTTTTTTTTTTACCCTCCCCGTTTTGTGTGTGCGAATTTCGCGAAGCAATTTATTATTATACATTGCAGTTAATTTAGTATACTGCCGAAACTGCAATGGTGAAATTGACGAGATTTATTTGATCGTTGAAGGAAACTGAATAAAATCACGTGTAAAGAAATAAAGATAGCTGAGATAGAGAGATCCAGGGTTTTTTTTTTTTTTTTTTAGAAAAAAGACAAGCATGCGATTGGTTTCTGGTCTCGGGACAGAAGGGCTCGAGTCAAATGTTTATGGTTTTCAATACAATTAGTAAATTAAATTTCGAATATACTCACAATTAGTATAAAATGTCGAGAGAAAAGTAAAGAGGAAAAATCGCAATGGACAAAATTATCAAAAAAAAAAAAAAAAACGTCTAGAATTAAGACCTACTTCCTCGGGGCCGAAGATATAATTGGGTTCAAATCACACGAAAGGGGTTATGGCTTCCTCTTTTCAACCAACGCCGATTCCACATGCTCTACAGGCAAGATGGAATGATGGAGTCGATGAACCTATAGATTCAAAAACTACTTGATCGATTTCACTGAATATCATGTCACGGTTCTTCTTTATTACACGTAGTTTCCGAAGCGTTTTAGAGAGCGGTTTGAATGGGAAATTCTGTCCCTAGATTGGGACTCTCGCAGACTCTCGAAATTCGCCTCAAAATACGAAAATCGCACTTTCTCTTTTAATATTTATTTTCGGTATCCATTGGTTACGCGGTAAAAAAAAAAAACAAACTATTTTTATCATAACCAATGTATTGTTTTCACGGGGAGAGACGTTTTTATTATAATTATTTTTTTTTTTCATTCAACACTGTGTGCAGTCAAAACAGGGTAATACGCAGCTATATAGTAATGCGTATAAAAGTCTTACTCGAGATGTGCAACGTTTTCAAAAAGATACGAGTGCATTGTACTTATTCATTATACATGCCGAAAATAAAAATGAAAATTGCAGATTTTATTATTTTAATCTTTATAGAAAACGTATATTGTTATTTAAACAAGGGCATTATTATTATGACGTGTTCGTTTGTATTTTTTTTTTTTTTAACACGTGTCATCGCGATTTGTCGTTAATCCGTCAAAATCGGTATTTCATAAAGATTGTGAGTATGTAATTTTTTTTGAAAATATAAAGAAACAACGGTGAATGACATTAAGCTATATTATATAGTATACTGCGAGATAATGGCGAAGAAGTATATAAAAACGAAAAAATCGCATCCGCAGACGATAAACTCTATGAAAACCGTCTCGTGTATAGGTTAGGTCGCAAAATGGCCGAAACATCGGTAAAAAACCTCGTCTCGAAACATTAATACGAATTCTTATAGTTTTAGCAAAAACAACCTATACGTTTTCTATAGTGATTTCGGATTTGTTTTTCTTCCGACCCGCTGCAGTCCCGCAACAGTAACTTCGGTAATATCCTTCGTCTTTTTCTTGTTCGGCTTTTAAAGGCCATCATTGGTGTCCATTACCGTTACGCACATACCCGCTACCGTCTATCGTTATAATCCCGAGGTAATGTTGTTCTCCGCCTTGTGTTCCGATTTCCATTGTAGACTATTCATACACACGCCTTGCATAAAGGTGGATAAACAAATGGCCTACGCAGTGGCCTTTAGCCGACCGCTTTCCATTTTAGTGCCTGCGGTTTCATAATTGTTCCATTAATGTTTATTAATTAATATTAATATTAATTTTAATAATTTCAATAATATTGTTATATAGTTGCGGATTCAACTGTGCAGGCTTATTTTCATAAGAAAACTCGTGTTACTTCGGGATTTTTTTTTTTTTTTTCGTTTTCCTATTGTCCGCCCTGTAGAATTTCGAGTAAAATTATCTCTCACCGGTTTTTGTTTTGTTTTTCAAAACCTCGAGTCACGAACTTGACTATAATAGCCTTTGAGAGAGTGACTGCAGTATTATGTAGTCTTCATAGCGCTCGGTATTATTTTTTTGAAGTGGCTGTACGTTTTGGGGGGTGACGGTCGACGAGAGATTTTGAAAACGTTTGTAAGCGAGAGCACAGCGTAGTAGACCTACCGGATTTTAATATTATTTTTTTTTTTTGTTTCTAAAAGGGGCACAGAATATAACGCATTGTTTAGTCGTACGCATATTCTTAAAAAATAGAACGTGATTACGGTCTTATTATACTTGGCGAGGTTTCCTACGTACGTTTTTTATTTTTTTTTACTTTTTTTCAGTTTTGTGCGTTCGTCTCGAAAAAATACAACTGGTAAAAAGTACGGTTTTTATAAACGTAATGATAATTATCGGGTACTCGACCGATCAGATTTCTTTAAATATATATGGGTATGAGTACCAATAATAATATAAGTTTTTCTATATCCATTGGATTTATTATTATTTTTTGGCATAGATATACGTTTAAAAAATTTAGATGTACCTTTTATTTTTTAAATTATATGTGTACACTGCAAAAAAACAAGTATGTAAAATAACTGATATTTTTATAGCTCATTATTATTATTACCGGTGGAATTAAACGATACTTTCTATATATATATATACATTAAACTATATACCTATATATATATTAAATCTCAAGTCGAATACTACATAAATTTTCAGCGGTTTATTTTAGTTATTATAAAAAAAAAAAAAAAACACATCGTCTTCATCGCATAATATATTATCGATAAAAAAAATAATAAATAAACTTTCTTGTGTGTAAATAAAAACAAAAAAAAAAATTGTTTTAGAAAACGTATGAATAATATTTATTTTTTTTTAGATACATATTATAATACCCGCAAAGGAGTTTCGAAAAATTATCGAGTCTTCGTGGTTATTTTATGTCGTTTAATATGATAACAGCGTGAAAATGATAGGTACATTATAATAATGTAGTGTAGGTAGGCGTGGACGCTCAAGAGCCAATACGGAAAAACCCTA